TTATTATTATTATTATTATTATTATTATTATTATTATTATTATTATTTTAAAAGGGCAAACTTTTAAATTAACTTATGACCTCCAGCCTTCCATGTTTCTGTCTGGAAGCAGCGGTCAAAGTTTCTTTTTATCTATCCTAGGCTTGTAAATATTATAAATCTATTCTCTTGAATGGTTTATGAGTGATGTGGACTCACTCTTGTCAGTTTTCTGACCTGGGTCCAAGCACAATCCCTTACTGCCTGTGTAATTTTGGAATTTGGGATTGGGGTATAATTGTTGTATGCAGCACAGGATGGTGTTAATTGCACTTGTAGATGTCCTTTGGAAGGATTGGGATGGTTGTGGTGCACTTATCCTAACCTTCCTTGATCTCTCAGTGGCTTCTGCTGTTATAATTATAGTATCCTTCTAAAGTGGCTTTGAGGTATTAAAAGAGAAAACACAATGGGATGGTTATTATCCCTCTTCTATGGCCTTTTCCCCTCAGTGTTAGGGGGGTGGGGAGACCTAACTTGAGGATCCTACTTTGCAGGGTTTCTTAGAATTCTACTCTCTTTTGAGTCCTCTTTAACACCTACAAGCAACTTCTCAAAAAGGTTTTTTGTTGGTACAGAATAAGGTGTCATCCATTTTCTGTAACTGGGAGATCCTTTGCATAATTCAGTACCAAGTACTACTTGCTGAGGGAGAAACTCACTTATTTGAAGCAGTAACCAAGAGAACTTTATGAGCATAAAATAGTTTTCCTTCCACTTGAAACGTCACATCAGACATATCTTTGTTATTTAGAAAGTGAGGATCTGCATAGAAGAGAAAAAGAGGGAAGTTTAATTAGGTTTCATTGTAGAGAAACATAGTAAGAAATCAATATCCACCGAATAGCTGCTGATTGCAGGTTAACTAAGTTACCTAGGCGGGCTGGCAGTGTCCTTCTGATTTCAGGAATATTGGGGATGGGGCTGCTTCCATAGCAGTGAGTAAAGATAGCTGCGAGATGCTGGCTGATTGAGTCATTCTGTGAATAGACAAGTTAAAGAAACACATTATTCTGCTTTTATTATATAGAGGAGAGCAAAAGATAAGATATTTGAATTCATCTCTTTGCCAAGGATGAATGCCTTACGCACAGAGGGAAGAATAGCTGTATCTGCACTGATACCTATACCTATATCTAAGATAAATAAAATCCCTTTCTCAACCCTACGGGTGGTGTCTGTTTTTACCAAAGGCCCATGAATTTGAGGGTTCTGCACAGTATCTCTGTTGATCCTGGTACTTCCCTCTTTTGGATAGAGAGCTCTGAGGTTGTTCCTGGGAACTGTTGGAGCCAATCTCCCAGTTTAGGATCCACAGAGAAAAAAGGAGAAGGGGCCACACTAGTACCCATTGGCTGGGTACTAGGGCGGCCCTATAAAGCAGTGGTCCCCAACCTTTTAGGCGCTAGGGACTGTTTCTGTGGACCGGGGGATGGGGGATGGGGGCTTAGTTTTTTTGTGCTGCCTGCATCCCACGGATGGGGCTTCATTTGTTTGCGTGATCCAGTTTCATGCCATGGACTGATGCCAATTCATGGACCAGAGGTTAGGGAGATGACACCAGGATGACCATGGCACATCTGAAGGACGTGGTGAGAGACAAAGGGGCATGGAGAGTGCTGAACCATAGAGTGGCTGAGGGTCGGACATGATTGAGTGGCTGATGACAACAACAGATGATTTAAGTTATTATTAGAATTAGGGTTTCTACTGCAAAAGAGAGCTTTTTTGCCAGTAAACAAGCATAAATAAATATAGCTGAGGTGAGTGAAACATCTAGAACTAATTATGTTTTTCCAATAGCTTAAACTCTTTTTGGTTAGGTTACAATTTTAGAGCTCATTGTAAATATCTTATCAAAACGGTTAAGACAAGAAGAAAATTACCCTTTCCTGAAACAGCTTTTTCTCAACAAGTAGACAGGTGAGGCTAAAAGCAAGGGACTGCACCAAGAACTTAAGTATAAAGCAAAGGTGAGCCTTGAGTTTCAAAACCCGACCATTCTTTTAAAACTAGTTCTCAGCTTTCACATCCATTTTCTGTAAGAATAACTAATGAGACAAACATGCTAATGTGAAATGTGCAGCTGTCTTTTTGTTATATTCTCCAGAATAAGGACTCAGTGAGATTGCTGTATTCACATGCAGGAAAGCTTAATCCAGATGGTATGTTTATTTTAACTGGCTTAATTTTCCTCTTGTATGTGACTGTGAACTGTGAGATTGTTCAGCCTTTTGACTTCTTTCACATTTCTGATTGAACTATCATTTTAGTGTCAGAAATATGCAGCTCGGAAGGTTGATCAAGGAGAAGGAGGATACTTAATGGATTTCTACCTCTGAGTGCTTGAAACTTCAGAAGAAAAAAAGTCAACAAATCCAGCTGCCGAATGAATGGATGGATGGATGAATGAATGACTAGGAAGTGCAAGCAACCTAACAAGCAAAAAGGGTACGGTAGATGACTCTTGATAATCGGTATCTTTGAGATCTACCCTAGTATCAGTAGAGGTCTTTCTTTATATAGTGTATTATTGGCATGTCTTGCCTAGGCCAAAGATCATCAAAATCATATAAGCATTTGAGATCCTTGGATTTCTGCATCAAGAATGAAGTTAGGAAAGGAGGATAAGGAGCTGAAGTGATGCTTACAGTTTTAAAATAGCTTACTTTGCTGGTTCTGAGAATTTCAAACATTAGTTTCAGTCCATCAGTCACTAGCTCTTCGTTGTATTCTTCTTCTTTAATAGTGACAAATTCCCGTAGGAGGTTCTGTACTACTGAGTAACGAGACTGATAAAAAGTTGTTCGTAGTGACTCAATCCATACATGCAGCTTCCATGGGATTCCTGGAATCATTCCAAAAGAAAGGGGAAATGCAATTTTACCAATAAGCATGGACATTCAACCAGCAACAGGCAAATACATACTCTGTATCAAATCAAGTTTAGTTTAATGTTCTAATAGTACTAGAAACTTTTTATAGAGTATGACACAGGGTGGCACAGGGAGGTACAAGATTCCAAATAGATATATAAGTGATGTGATTATCTTTTAAGGATTACTATAAAAAAATAACAGATCTTAACACAATTAAGAACCTGCTTTTGTTTTATCTTTATGCGCATGGATGATATGATTAATATCATGGATGCATGACAACAGTTCCCACACTGCTGTCGCTGTGAAACTATATGCAAATGATCAGGGTGGATTGTATGATTATTTATCTCCATTGCCACAAATCTGCTAATGAATAGACATCTCCATTGTTGCACAAAATTGTGCAGTCTATTCTAGTTATGTCGGAAGAATTTGAAGACATTTCCAGGCATGGTACTGGAGCAACTCCAAGACTGTTCTAATCATAGCACAGGATTGGCAGGAATTACTCAAGGTCAGATAACACATTAGTTCAACTAAGTAGTGAGCTGCTCTATTTTTTCTTTTCTTTTTTATCCATTTGGAGCATCTATACCTGATTTCCAAAGAAAGTAGGCAGGTAGGTTTAATCCCACTTTCTGCAACTGCTGTTTAAGTTCTCTGCTGTCCATGCTTCTGAATATCTCATATCCAGCTGGTAGATTGTACAGTAGCACTGAGTGCTGAGAAAAAATATTAATAGTGCTTCTATTTTCTTATTTGAAATCATGATCAATAAGCCTTGTCAGTCTTCCCCAAGCCAAGAGTCGGAATTGCACTGGACTTCATAAAAGCGTATCTGGCTTGCATTTATGGAAGTTCATCTCCAACATGTCTCAAGGTGAAGCAAAGCCATTCTGGTTTAACTGGAGAATTATTCTAACCAGAATATAGTTGGATTCCCTATCCCTAGCTCCAATTCTAACTATAACCTAAGAGCAGGTACATCAGCAAATAAAGTTACTACAGAACAATATGGGGGGAACATAGAATCAAGAAAAAAAAACCTGCTTCTTTAATCAGAACTAAAATGAAGTGTTTCTTTTGCTTCCTCAGCTTGTCAGCAAAAATGAAAGGTGAAGAAAGAATGCCTGCTTTTAAAATGAGAAATTTGCAAGAATGCTTTGTAGCTCTTTTCATACAAGAATAAAGATTAGAATTCAGATGCTACTGTTTTCTTCTTCTTCTTAAACACATTTCAGTTCTAAGGAAAGAATGCAAAGCAGGGCAGAACCTCTATCTATCCAAGTTAGAAAATAGACAGAAGAAACCCAATCAAATATGGCTTGTTACCAAATGACCCATTTTATATAGCTGTTTAAATGAAAAATCTGATCTTCATCTCTGATTAGTCCAATATTCTTAATCTAATGTTTTCAAACTTAATTTAAAAAGATCTTGCACTGGACCGCATCTCATTTAAACTGCAGAAGACATTTGAGCAGCTCATGTGCCCTAATAATGAGATGGCTCTTTCATTTTAATGTTCATTTAATGCATTTTCAAAAGGTCTGATCTCCTCCTTAAAGAGGAAGATTCAAACTCTCCAAAGTTTTAAGAACCAATTTTCCGGCACTTAAGAGGATTGAAGCGCATGTGCCTGTTTCTTAATAGTCAATCTTTATTTCAGGACAATATATCTTTATTTCAAGATAATGGTATCAGTGCCAAAGCTGAAGTTTATTTATTGCCAAAGTATTCCCCTATTACTATAGTTCAGTTATTTCATCAATAATGTATATTTTACAGCACAGTCTATAGCATTAATTCAGTATAATAAAACTGATTCTTCAGCTTTTTCCAAACATTCTTCCTGGAATAAATTAGAATGCAACTAATTTTTTTACAACATACATTATCTACTAATAGATCAAAAAGTTCTGCCTTAATGTAGCTTCTTATTTTCTTTGCAGCAAGAATTAGCGTACAAGTAGGAATATAAGCTACTTTCTATTTCTTTTCATTCCTTTTCTTTATTTTTTTCTTTATTTCCTTTTTATTTATTTTATTTAATTTATATCCTACCTTTATCACTTTTACAAATAACTCAAGGTGGCAAATATATACAGAATACTTTCCCCTTCCTATTTTCCACACAACAACCACCCTGTAAGGTGAGTTGGGCTGTGAGAGAGTGACTGACCCAAGGTGACCCAGTTGGTTTTCATGGCCAAGAAGACGGGCCTTTAACTCTTGGTCTTTTGCTTTCTAGCACGGTGCCTTAACCACTAGACTTATTATTTTTAATCTTCTTTTAAAGATTCTTAATTAAAAAATTATACCAAAACAAGCCCTGCCTTGTTCACTTCCTAAACTGCTGCCATAAAGTTTTATGTGAAAGTGCCCATCAGAGGAAGCCATTTTGTTCAGAATGCAATAGCAATAGCAACAGCACTTAGCTTTACAGTGCTTTACAGCCCTTTCTAAGCTGTTTATAGAGTCAGCATATTGCCCCCAACAATTTGGGTTCTCATTTTACCCACCTCAGAAGAATGGAAGGCTGAGTCAACCTTGAGCCAGTGAGAATTGAACTGCCAAATTGCAGGCAGCCAGCAATCAGCAGAAGTATCCTGCAGTACTGCACTCTAACCACTGTGCCACCATGGCTCAGTAGCTCAGGTAATTACCATTAGTTGGCAAGATCTTGCCTGCAGAAACCCAGACAATCACTAGATGGCAGCAAAGAGATTACAGAAGCCTTTGCATCTAGTAATAGTCTGATTTTTTTTTTTTTTAACAATCTGGTCAGGTAGCCTTTTAAAATAAATCCAGCATTAAATATATATATTTAATACACACACAGACACGTTCAAGTGACTTAAGGAAATTTTCCATGTCTTACAATAAAGAGAGTCAAAAACAAAATCTTACCAAGTACCCTCAGTTCCATTGTGATATCAACATAGCCATGCTCGGCACTGTAATACATGGCCTCCTGTAATGCTTTCATTCTGGTTTTGCACAACTTAACTTGGCCCTCATTAGAACTTCCTTGGCTGGAAGTATCGCTTTCCACACCCTCTGCTAAAATCTCTTCCAGTGAGAGAACATCTCCCTTCGACTGCTGTGGCTGGGTCAACAGCTTGCGCAGGACATTTCTGTAAAGTAGAAGCCAAAGGAGAACTATACAGATCTGGAAACTATGAGATAACTCACTTTACTCTGGTAATTTGATTAGTAAATGCCTACGCCCACAAAAATAATTTTGACGATGCCAAGGAATCTTTCTAGACAAGCAAGAGAAACGCAAAGGTGGAATTTAGCAACATTATTTGTTTTAACTATTTTCGACTTTGATTACTGAAGTATTTTTTTTTGTTCTATTGTACTATTTTGTTCTATTGTATTTTATTAATTTATTTGATTCCTTTCGTTAATTTTTATTATTTTTTTTGTTTTAAATATGGTTTTACATTCTGTAAGCTGCCTGGAGTTGCCATGGCCCAATAGGCGGCAATATAAATTCAACAAATAATAATAATTCACTAGGCCACATATAAATTTACACTATAACCATACCTTGCAATTTAAAATAAACTTGCTTGTTTTAAATTGCCATTAGCAGCTGCATTCTGTGAACTGAAGGTAAGGATAAACCAACACAGTGTGTTAAAAGTCTCAATATAAACAAACATTGTGTGTGTGTCTCAATGTGTGTTTATATTGAGATTTTTAATACTAATAACAAATAAAAAAAACTAATACAAACTAAAGTAGAATGAGAAAGTAAAAAGTAAAAAAAGGGAGAGATAAAAAAGCAGAAAGTATAGAAAAGTAATAGGAAGATAAAGACAAAAAAGTATGTATGTATGTGTGTGTGTGTGTGTGTGTATA